ATTTCACTATTCTTTTGTGTTTTTATGAGATTACTAATTGCATTACTTTTATTATTAATTTAATGTGTATTTGATTACCTGATATATTTTTGAATTAATTTTATTGAATTTTTTTTTATACCATTGGCATGTATGTCAATATTTTTGTGTTAATATATATTTATGTTTATAACGTAGTATATATATACATATACATATATATATATATATATATATATATAATATATATATATATATATATATATATATATATATGAAACTATTTTTACTGCTTTCGGTCGGAAGCTTGTTTTTTTAGAATCGACATTTTTGTTTTGGGTTTTTTATTGTTACGATAATAAATATGGCGTATAAAACTGTAAATATATTATGACTAATTCTTTTCTATTCAAGTATTTCTAGATCACGCACCGGCCGGCGGAGATGCAGGTAATAACCGATGGGTCCCCCTCCGATAAAAAAACAGCCTGAGTTCCCGTTAATTCGAGGCAATTCTTGTCAACACCACCACAACTAGTCTTTCCCAATGATCCAGTCAATTCATGTCTGCTTCTAGGGGATTCCGATACTAACGGAGTTTTATATTTAAAGAAGGAATTCTGTTGTAAAGGACAGTTAGTTTTTGGATATCGGGCTGCGTTTTGAATTGTAACGCACGAATTATAATTGTAGATAACTTATATAATTATTAAGTCTAAAATAAATTAGTAGTAATAAAGACTTTAATAAATTTGTGAGTGTTAGAACACCTTTAATAAATAATAAAGACAATAAATTAGAATTAATAAAGACATTACATTATGATTATCTTTTGGTGTCGTTTCATAGGAACTAATATTTAAGTTTGTATATATTCTTTAGTTGTAATTATTTATGGTTACGTATATTTATGTTTTAATTTCATTGCTTTTTTAAATAGAGTTTTATACAGTCCACTGGCTTTGATTTCTCTTCTTTTATTTGAATATACATACCCAATCCGAAAGGGGAAAACCAGCGAATTCTAGATTGAACATAATATATTCTCTCTCCCTTCAGGATGACCCCAATTCTTATATTGACGTCATCGTATGCGCAGAACGCAACAATACTTAAAAAGTTAAAACAATGGAATTTTTTAATAATCAAAATATTGAAACAATAAACAAAGATCCAACGGAAAAGTATCAAAAACAAATTAAACTAGCGTTAGAAAATTCAAAATCAATATTAAATTCAATAGAACAAATACCTCAACATCATGAACACAGCCTCCTAAATTATAGTCTTTCATTAATCTACATAAACCAGATCACCCAATATGACCTGTAGTTTCTTTTTATATAGCTCCGTCAAATAAATAACCAAAAAATTGTTTAATTATTTCAGAACACACTAAATTTTTACCTCAATTTACCGTCAAACATACAATTGGACTAGTTTATAAATTAAAACATTTTCAATTACCTAACAACTCAAAATTAATTTCATGTGACATAGACCCTAGATATGTCATAAACCCTTTTCTAGTATTCCTCCTATAGAAACTTATGCTCTAGCAAAAGACTTAGACCATAATAATACAAATCCAACTATTACTTCTGAAATTTTACATATTCTTGAAATTTGCATTAGCCAGGACTTCTTTAATCATCAAATATATAAAAATAAGTGCAGAACTTATACTGAGTAATCCTCTAATACCATTATTAACAGATATTTTTATGAACCATCTAGAAACAAAGATTTCAAAACATCTCATATTCAAACAGTTTTTGTATAGGTGGAGATACGTAGACGATGTACTGGTATGTTTTACAGGAACTAACAGGCAACTTTTACAGAAACTAACAACCAATTCTTATTGGATCACTCCCTAGTCATATTGAATTCACAATAGGAACAGAACAGAATCAATCCATAAATTTTCTAGATTTAAAAATTATCAGACTTAAAAACAAACATGAGTTCTCCGTATTTCATAAACATACCCATACTGACACGACTATACAAAATTCATCATCCCATCCTACACAACATAAATTGGCTGAATACCATATCATGTTACATAGATTAATAGAAATCCCCATGACAAAATATAACTGCGAGATAGAACTGAATATAATAAAGCAAATAGCAGTAAACAATGGGTGTACAACGGACACACAAAGAAATAAAATTTTAAATCAAAGACACCATAAGAAAGCCCTGACATTATTTCCACCACCAGAGAAAAAACCCAGTATCTTCTGCTCGATTATATATACAGGTAAGATATCAACAAAAATAGCCAAACACATAAAACAGAAAGGAATATCACCAGCTTTTAGAACAAACAACAACTTAGGCAAATATATTAAGAACAACAAGAGCCAAAACAAAAAGCAATTACACAGCGGTGTATAAAAACTTAAATGTGGCGATTGCCCAAAAACTTACATCGGTCAAACTGGTAGAACTTATATCAAACGTATAGCAAAACATAAAAGGGCTTTCAATAATAGAAAAACGGACTCTTAGTACGCACTTCACCTTCTAGACCAAAATCATTCTTTTAATGATGAATTTAAGATTTTTCACATTCAAAATAAAGGCCTTAAGCTTTTATTAGAATCTATGGAAATTAACAAATTAAAAAATACAGACAATTCTGAATGACCACTTTAAAAACCAAGACAACATTAATGAAGGACAAAATAATATATTGGAAACTAACATAAACAACTCAATAAACGAGGAAGAACTAGAAGAACTAATAAAAAGTTTAAGTATGGAGAAGCTACTGGAGTGGATAATATAACAACAGAAATAAATTATAAAAAACATGGGTAAAAAAGGAGAACAAATATTACTAAAAATAATGAATAAAATATGGAAAATTGAAGATATACCGGAAGATTGGAAAGTGTCACTAATAGTACAAAAAAGAAGATAGAAGATAATGTAATAAATACCGACGAATGTAATAACAACAATCCTGAGAGGATTGACGTTGCTATATACATGTATTATGACACTCTTAGAAAAAATAATTAACAAACGATTAAAAACAATGACAGCTCACATTAGACAAAGCACAAAGTGGATATAGAAGTGGTAGGAGTACACAGGAACATGTATTTGTTTTAAATCATATAAAACAAAAAGCTTTACAAGAGAAAAAGAAAATATACGTAGCATTTCTTGACATAGAAAACCCTTCGATAAAGTACCACTAAGACAGAAACTACGGAAAATATAAAACAAAGTAATAGACAACATGTTACTAAGAATGATACAAAAAAGTTACAATGAGAAAAACAATGCAGTAATAAGTAATAATACAATATCAGATATTATAGTACAGCAAATAAAAAATGAAATGACTCATGAGCGTGATTACATCTTTATCGCATCGTTTAGCTCTCGCTATGACTTTTACCAAGAAGCATATCAGTAGTGAAGAAAGGATGCGTATATAGTCGGTATATATTTAGTTTTCTCAGAGTTATAAGTGTGTTAGAAGTATACAGGTGCATTTGTGTTGAACGATATAGGTACCTACTGCTTTTATTAAATACGATTTACTTAATTCAATAAAAATGGAAGAAGCTAGTACTAGCAGGGAGAGTATACATGTAAAAAGTTTTCGCAAACTAGGACTTAAAGCTAAAAAAATAGTGTCTAATGTGTATGAGTATTTGAGAAAAATCTTGTCTCAGGCGGAGGCAGTAAGTCGTGAAAGTATCACAGGAGTATTGTCATCCACTGTTTACAGGATTGCTTATCAAAGAACGCTCGTGTGAAGTTCACGCCCACAAACAGGCAGACGTCGAAAACCAATTGAATTTAATGAACGTAATAATTCAGAAATAAGACGTAAGTTCATTCTTTTTATTATATAATAAGGAAATTCCTACTCTAGACAAAATCTTTTCTGCATTAAAAACTAATGAAATAATTTCCCAAATGGGTCGTAAAATTTTGCGTAAGCAGTCATGTCAAACACAACAGGAATTCAGAGTTGATAAAGAAACCTAAATATCATAGTCGCAACTTATCTGCTATAAAATAAACCCAATTTATTTTGACACACAAGACAGTTAAATTTTTCTCAGAAATAAACTTGATATTTTAATTGCCTTTCGTTTTTTACTACTGAATACGTAAGATAAATTGCTGTGAGGGTTATAATTGTAACACTATGACTCATGTAATGCATGGCTCGATCTATATAACTTCTTCCAAATAAACATATTTTGGCATTATTTTTGAAGTCATTATCTACAATATGGAGCAAACAATCATCTGCGGTAGCCAGTACTCTTTCTATTGATACACTACATAATTGAATATTCTTCTGAAATAAAAAGAACATACTAATTTGAGTATTTTACTAATTATAGTTTAGGTGTATAGTGGACTTCCGTTCATCCGCGAGAGGATTATCCGTGACTCCACAGAATCAGTTTTTAATGTGAATAAAAACTTATTCTATAAACTAGATTTATTGTATTATTTTTATTATTATAAGCAGAAATATAACATTTCATTGTTACAATGTAAAGTGACCAGGAAGGAAACATATTTTTTTACGCGTCGCCTATGATCGAATTAAAAAATTCCGAGAATTCTTGATTGACACATGATTCCGGCTACTTTTGATCGGTTAGGACGCGTGACTTTCGATGACCAATTTCATTTTTTGTTTGCTAGACTTAGTTTATTACATCGTTGGCTAGACTATAAAAATTATATTTCACAAATAGAAAGTCTTTCATTAAAATTAATGAATACACACTCCCAATATTCATTATTCTTCTTCTTTTTGTACTGAAAGAAGTTTGCAGCAATAAGTGTATTTTAGATAATAATAGTGAGGGGTAGGAGTTTTTATATTGTATTTCGTTAAATATTTGTGTAGTAGTTCTCAAATCGTTTGTAAGGATTTTTAAACACAACACACATTTGGCCAATTCCAGAATAGCAAAAGACCATAATATTCTTCATTTTTCTAACCTGCAAAATTAAACTGTCAACAAGTTGTTTTGAAAAGTTATTTTTGTTTTTGCAAACACATTTACAGCAGAGTAATTACAGAGTAAATACAGAAGTGTACCTAATTAATTATAAGATGTTTGAAAGTGGAACAAGTTTTGGTGATGTAAGTATAAAATAGAGTACTTTTAAGCCTTTTGTGAATACGCTAATGAATATTTACAGGATGATTTAGAACTGGAGACATCATTTACACCAATTTTTAGTAGTACACAAAATAAATTAAATGAAAAACGAAAAAATGAAATCCTAGCAGAAGAAAATTCTAAGAAAATTAAAACACACCACAATTCATCAGCTTTATTTATTAAAAATCCAATACTGGAAAAGGTAACCAAAGAAAATTCATTTTCACCTAATAAAGTTGTAAAAAGAATGTTTCCTGGTCCAGCTGGACTTTTGCCTGATGATATAGGGAAGAAAACCATGATAACTTCTCATAGTTCAAATGATGATTCTGAGGTAAATAATTTATGCAATTTACATGTCAAAAGAAACTTTGTTTTTAACAGGTCCATGGACTTTTTATACATTCCATAACAACAGTTTGAATATACATAGTACATCTTGTGTGTAAGCAGTGGGTCATTTTTAAATTACATAAATTTTCATATACTGATATTTAATTTAACTACTCTTCTGAAGCTATTTTTATTTATATTTTTAGTTTAAACTCTCTGAAAATGTACACTTTCAATTATTACTTTTATATCTCTTTATCTTATATTTAATTTTTACAAGTCCACTATTATATTCATGAGCACAATCTATTTAATTTTCTAAAAAGATTTTTCCTAATCCTAGGTTTCATGTATTCAATACAATTCTCTTTATAGTATTTTCCATTTGTTTGCCCTTTTTACTAGCTTTTTTTTTAACATTTTCATGTATGATTTATTATCACAATAGGATAATGTTTCATTTAGTTTTTCTAAATATTTTCTAGTTACATAAAATAAACACTAGTTACATAGATAGTAATCTTTTAAATTGTTCAGTAAAACAGCCCATTTCTAAAAAAGAGTGATGATTTAATTTTGGCCTGGGATTCTGGAAGCCCTAATTGCACCTGTTAAAATTTATTTGTTTATATAGTACAGTAAAAACTCTGTTAACTGAAATAATTGGGGGGAATCCATTTCGGATAACAAGAATTTCAGTTAAAAATAACACTGTTTTGTATTCTTCTTGTATCAAATTACAATTACATAGTATTCTTGGTCAAAGTTGGTATTAAAAAATACTATGAGGTGATTTCGTAACAGTATTCTTACCTCTAAGGCATTGAAAGTGTTGTCAGCAGTCACATGTTGCCTGTTGTCTGTTAGGTCTTCATCTTCATCATCTGATACGCTCAGGTTGTCTGGTTGAAGAACCATATCAACAATGTCCTGGTCAATGAATTCACTTTCTGAGTCATAGGCCGCTAATCTTCTTCTTTAAGTGCCGTCTCCCAATCAGAGCTTGGATATGATCATCACTATCTTTACTTTATCTACTGCTGCTCTAAAGAGTTCTATTGAACTGCATTTAAACCAGTCCCTTAAATTCTTCAACCATGACACTCTCCTTCTTCCTATACTCCTTCTTCCTCTTATCTTTCCCTGTATTATCAGCCTTAGAAGTTCATATCGCTGTGCCCTCATTACGTGTCCCAGATATTGTAACTTTCTTATATTTAGGGGAGAAGAGGGAGACTTGATCCCACCGTTACATTTTTTCAGATAGCTCCTTTTACAACCAATCTAGAACCTTGATAATTTAGTGGAAACATTACAAATTTATCACAGTTTTGGGTATTGTACACCCGAAAAATATACTGCTAATAAAAAACGAGTTTTTGTAGAATTTCGTAACATGGAGAAACTAATCATGTCTCCCCGTACTCCGGGAGACTTGATCCTTGTGTATGGGAGACTTGATTATACCTTTCCAGATTTACGATATTAAAATAAAACCAAAAATTGGATGCTGAAAACTAACTTTACTCAGTCATGACTTATAACAAATAATGTTATTGAAAATATATAACACTTTCTGGCAAAAAACTATACTGAAAAATGATAAAAGAAAAAAAATTGTTCTCGAATATTGAACATCCTTAGTGATTTGGGAAAGACAAAACATCCTATGCGCTTACTGTAGCTCCTAAAAGTCGGGCGTGGTAACTTTTTTAAAATTTGGTCACGTGGGACTTCACCCATGTCTTCTTTTTCTGGCCACTTAAAGGTTTTTTCATCCCTTTTTTGGGCAAATTTGATTTTAAAATCCTCGTTCTTTTTTTCCATTATCTGTCCTACGTATCGATGGACTAAGTTTCTTTCGGAGACAAAGCTGACAATTACCCAATCTTGCACACTCAACTCAAACTCGTCACCTTCTGCTTCCGATTCACATTCACTATCTGTCTCTACTTGCATTTCATCATTAGGATCATATTCAGACTCTGACGATGGTAGTATAATGTCACTGCCCCCCGAACTTGAAGATTCCCTCAAATCCTTAAGTTTTTGTTTAGTTATTCTTTTTAGGGCTCTTATTTTGGCCCTTTGCTCTTTTTCTAATTTTTTCTCTTCTTTAGCCTTAACTTCAGCTTCAAGCGCAAGTTTTTCTGGTGTTGCTGTGAGAATTTTTGTAGTTGCTCGCTTTCTACCCTTTGCTGAAGTCCTGGGCCCGGCTTTAGGGTGGGGTCTAATCATTTCTGGGCTAGTAAACGTGGCAGAAGGGAAAGAATGGTTATTGTGCTCTTTTGATGTTTGTTGTAGCTGTTCATTTTGTGAAGTATCTCCATTTACAGAATGGGATCTAATTATTTGAGGTGTGGTGAAAGTACCAGTAGAAGTAGAAGGCTGATTTTCGTCCTCAATTAGTGTTCGTCGTAGTTGTTGATTATGTGAAATGGATCCACTTGAGGAATGTGGTCTAATAATTTCAGGGGTGGTGAAAGTGCCAGTAGAAGTGGAGGGTTGATTATTGTTATCTATGGCTGGTTGTGCAACATCAAACTGGGATAAAGTGGATTTGTTTTCCGGATCTTCGCGATCAGTAACATACGCCGACATAAAATCTTCATCGGTAAAAATATTGGAATTGAAAGGCCATATACCCGTAACTCTGAATCCACTCTCAATATTACGTGGAGTAAAAGCTAGGGGGAAAGCGTAAGCTAAGCATCCTCCGACTTCATATATTGTAATTGTCCTTCCTGGGTGCGCCACCATCCAATCATCACAGGCAGTATTATAAAAACTCTTGAGAGGGCCAAATACACTCGTGTCTAACGCCTGGAGCTTATGCGACGTATGTGGTGGTATGGTAAGAAGAACTATTCCGTGTGCTTTGGCATACGTTATGGCTTCCAGACTAACGTGGCTATCGTGATTGTCCATTATGATTAAAGATTTATTGTCGGTAGTCGCCTTTACATGTTTTTGAAAATGTTCCAAAAATTTGACGAAATTAGAAGCGGTCATCCATCCACTTTCATAAACTACGCCGGTGGTCCCTGGTGGCCTATGATCAATCATGCGATCTTGCCAAAGTTTTCGCGGAAAAACCAAAAAAGGCGGTATATGATTTCCAATTGCGTTGATTGCACCACAAAGAGTTACTGTTGGTCCACGTTCCCCTGACGTAATTTTACCAACCTGTTTTGCACCTTTGCATGCAATAATCTTCTTTGGCTTATGGACAGTTGAAAGGCCAGTTTCGTCTATGCTCCAAATTGCTTCTGGTCCAATTCCATTGCTTTCAAGAACTGTCTTTAAATTTATGAAAAATTTTGATACATTGTTTCTGTTGAAGCTAGTTGCTCTAGTAAGACTGGTTGCTTCCGGAGATCGTAGTGATAAGGTCTTCATCCTCTTCAGAAATCCGTATAACCAGTCGTAACTGGCTTGCTTATGTTTATTCCACGAAGCAGGTATTTTTTTTATTATTTCTTACGGCAAACTCGTATGCTAGTTCTTTTGCTTGTTTGGTTGTAAGGCCATGGTGTAATTTGCTGGCAACATCTAAATAATCTTTAAACATATTTTCCTCTGCATTTGTAAACATTTGAGCCTTCTTGTAATCAGGATAGTAGGTTATTTCAACATTTTCAGATCGTTGTCGGCGAACGTATCTTTTTAATGTCATAACATTTATTTGATAACGACTTGCTGTTCCCTTGAGAGACGTTCCGTTATTAATAACGTCTAATACAGCTTCTTTTAACTTCTGGCTGTCGACTGGTGTTTTTTTCTTTGCTCCTTCCCTCCTTTTGTATTGACGTGGCATATATATAAAATAAAAAACACTCATCTATAAGGAGTTTCTGGGAGACTTGATCCCGGGATCACATCTCCCAGATAAGATGTAATCAAGTCTCCCCCAAGACGCCATTTGAATATTTTTTTCTATAAAAATATGACGACAAACTAGAACTCATTGCAAAATGTGCAAAACGTAAACTGAATGATTATAGTGTTAAATAAAAATTATACGAAAAACTCACCTTAACGAATATTAAAGAAAATCAACTTGAAATAATTCTGAAAACACTTCTCGGTAGGGACAAAAAAACTTGTAATAAACACGTGCTCTTCGTTGTGGATTCTAATACAAACTAAATTAAATGGGATCTTCAGACATACTAACAGCTAAGCTTTGTTGCCGGTTTTATAATTTTAGGCTACTTATTTACTGAAATTTTAAAGAGTGATCAAGTCTCCCATATGATCAAGTCTCCCTCTTCTCCCCTATTCTGTTTATTATTTCGCATTCTTTGCCCATTTCTCGCAATACTTCTGTGTTAGTTTTCTTCTGTGTCCATGCTATTCTAAGAATCCTCCTGTAACACCACATTTCAAAGGACTGTAACTTATTTATGAGTTCTTGCTTCAATGTCCAGCTTTCAAGTCCATATGGCAGTATCGAAAACACATAGCATCTCAGTGCTCTTACTCTCAGTTCTAATCTAAGATCTTTGTTGCAGAGAATTGTTTTCATTTTTACAAACGCATTTCTTGCTATTTCTATCCTAGCTCTTATTTCGGTTCTTTGATCATTATTGTCTGAAATCCAGGTTCCTAGGTATTTGTATTTATCAGCCCTTTCTATCGGTACATTTTCCAAATGTATGTTTGTTGGTATATTTGTTTTCTTTGTTATTATCATGTATTTAGTCTTTTTTATATTCATTTTTAGTTCATATTTTTCACAGAAACTGTTTGTTTTGTTTAGCAATAATTGGAGTTGTTTAGCAGAGCCTGTCATAATCACGGTGTCATCTTCATATCTTATGTTGTTAATAGATCTGTTTTCCGTTAATTATTATTATTTCACTTTGAGATAGTAATGCTTCTTCAAAAATGGCTTCACTATATACATTAAATAGTAATGGGGACATAATACATCCCTGCCTAACTCCTCTCCTGATTTCAATTTCTGGACTGGGTCCGTTATCTATTACGATTTGTGCT